AGGTAAGCAAGGCTGGGGATATGGGGGTACAAGTTTGGGGGGACAGATAAGCATTGCTGGAGGGTCTGTGGGTGCAGAAAAAGAGGGCTGGGAGGCTGGAGGTCTGGGGTCGCAGCTAAGCAGGGCTGGGGGTGCAGCTAAGTAAGGCTGGGGGTCTGGGGGTGCAGCTAAGCAAGGTTGGGGGTCTGGGGCTCCTGGGCTTGCCTGGGGGACTTTGGGAGGTCTGGGAGCGCAGAGAGGAGGTCTGGGGGTGCAGGGGCGCCGGGCTGACGGGGCACGCTGTGTTGCAGAGGAGGAGAGGCGGGTGGGAGCCAATGCGCGGGAGTACAACGAGAAGTTCCAGTACGCGGTGAGTGGGGTGGCCGAGCCCAGTCCCTTGGGGCCTCGTCCTGAGGCTCGGGCAGGTTTGGGGGGCTGGGGCCTGCGTCACTCCCCCCCAGACAGCAGCGGGGGGGTTACAGCTAAAAATAGATGTTTGTCCCTGAGAAAATTGTGCTGATGAGCTGTTAACGCCAACGGAGCTCAGGGGCTGGGGCGGCCTAGCTGGAGGGGGGCATGGTGTGCTCCCGTGGGAGGGATGCAGCCCCCCCATCCTCTGCCGGGCCCCCCCCTCCCCGTTCTGCCTGCACCCCTGCCCAGTCCCCGATGCAGTTGTGTATGGCTAATTAATGAGCTTCCGGAGCCACTGGGGGAGGGGCACTGCTCACCTTGGCCTCCCCCTCCATGCTGGAGGTTATTTCTGGCTGCTCCAGACCAGGCCCTGCATCGGCCTCGCCGTGGGCGGGGAGCAGGGGGTCTGGATCGGTGTGACCCTTGGGGAGGCTGGGTGCTGCCGCCCGGGTGGTCCGGATGCTGCCGCTGAAGGAGGGTGGTCCCTGGGTACTGGCTGGTGACTGAGGCGGAGGAATCGGCTTCTCGAGGAAGCTGCCACACAGCTAGAGCAGGCACAGGAGCCAGGGATCCAGGCTGCTGTCCAGAGCTCCCAAATTAGGGGTGCAGTGATCTGCAGCCCTGCCCCCAGAGTGATGCTGGGGTGGGGGTGGGGGGGCACTGTTACAGGGCCTCAGCAACTCGTGACCCCCCTTCTCGCCCCATCCATCCCCAGAGCAACTGCATCAAGACCTCCAAGTACAACATCATCACCTTCCTGCCTGTCAACCTCTTCGAGCAGTTCCAGGAAGTGGCCAACACCTATTTCCTCTTCCTCCTCATCCTGCAGGTGAGTGCTGGAGGGCCTGGGGAAGCAAATGGGGGCCCCCCCCACACTGTCCTTCCCTGGCTGGGCAGCAAGGAGAGCCCAGGGCACGTCCTGCCCCTGGCAAGCGGTGGGTTTGGCACTCTCAAGCAGGGGTAGCGTGGGCCTGGGGCTGGCCTGGTTCTCTGTAACTCCCGCTCCCTGTCCCCAGCTGATCCCACAGATCTCTTCGCTCTCCTGGTTCACCACCATCGTGCCTTTGGTTCTTGTCTTAACCATCACAGCTGTCAAAGATGCTACCGACGACTATGTGAGTGGTCCCCCAAGTGCCCCTCTACCCAGGCTGGCTGCCGGCAGGGCATGGGGACTTGGGGCTGGGCGGGGGGCTGTGACCCTGGTGCGGGTGTGCAGTGCCTGGGTCCATGGCGTTTGCAGGGGGAGGGACGCAGGACCCCATCCCCAGAGGGGCTGACGCTGCTGTCTCTTCCCCTCCGCACCCAGTTCCGCCATAAAAGTGACAACCAGGTGAACAACCGGCAGTCTCAGGTGCTGATCGGCGGAGTGTGAGTGTCATGGGGACAGGGCAGCTGGGGACAGGGCCACGGGGCCCTGCGGGGTGCAGCACAAGGCTGCAGGCAGGGGCAGAGTGCAGTGGGGCAGGGGAGAGGCAATGCTGCCGGCTCCTGCCTAACTCCAGTCTGCTGTCCCTCCGCAGCCTCCGGCAAGAGCAGTGGATGAATGTCCGTGTCGGAGACATCATCAAGTTGGAGAACAACCAGTTCGTGGCGGTGAGTGTGGCACCAAGGCAAGCACGGTCCCAGCTGGGCAGCATGCAGGGACAGCAGCATGGTGTGGTGCTGCACCCGCTCTGCTTTTCTGCTCCTCCATCATCTCCTGGGGTGCAGACATCAGGGACTTACCAGCCTGGAAGTTGCATTTAAGTTGTAGCACTTGAGCCATGTTTGAGCTCTGGGGATTTGGCTGATGTGGGTGCTTCAGGCGATGGTGTCCATGTCAGGGTGCTGGCAGCACCCTGCTAAGGACGCGTGGTTCTGGAGATCCCGCTGGCCCCTGGCATCCGAGGGCCAGGAGCTTCCTTGGGGAAGGTGTAGGGGAGCCCCAGCGTCAGCACAACCCTTCACATGTCTCTCCTGGCAGGCTGACCTCCTCCTCCTCTCCAGCAGCGAACCCCATGGGTTGTGCTACATAGAGACCGCGGAGCTGGACGGGTAGGTAACCCCTGCTCGCCTTGGCTGGCAGGGAAAGCTGAAAGACAGGAGTGAGAATGGGCTGTGGGCAAGGCAGGAGCTGCCACGGACCTGAAACCGGGGAACATCTGCGAAGGCCCTCCCTGCCAGGCTGTCACTAACCCCGCACATGGTGCCTCCTTGCCCACAGAGAGACCAACATGAAGGTACGGCAGGCCATTCCTGTCACCTCGGAGCTGGGTGACACCAGCAAGCTGGCTCGGTTTGATGGTGAGTGCCTGCAATGGGGGAGCCCCTGGGTTTCCTTCTCCATCATCTGGTGTGGGTCCACCCTGGAGACACCAGGACCATCCACGCGGTGGTGTGGTCCTGTGGCTTGAAGCGGATCTCTGGGGAGCTGGGGACAGTGCTGGGAGCACTGGGATGGAGCTGGCCACATGCAGAAGGCATGTTACAGCTGAGCCATCCCCTGCACCCAGGCGAGGTGATCTGTGAACCCCCCAATAACAAGCTGGACAAGTTTGGCGGGATGCTGTACTGGAAGGAGAACAAGTACCCCCTGAGCAACCAGAACATGCTGCTGCGGGGCTGCGTCCTACGCAACACCGAGTGGTGCTTCGGCCTCGTCATCTTTGCAGGTGGGCTGGGACAGCTGCTGCTGCTGCGCTGCATGGAAGGAAGAGATCCCGCTGATGCCCTTCCCTCTCCCCAGGGCCCGACACGAAACTGATGCAGAACAGCGGTCGGACCAAGTTCAAGCGGACGAGCATCGATCGGCTGATGAACACGCTGGTGCTCTGGGTATGCGGAAGGCAGATCCCAGGGAGCCCTGGCTCTGACGCGGTTGGGGCTCTGATGTCCTGTCCTGTCCTGTCCCCAGATCTTCGGGTTCCTGGTGTGCATGGGGGTGATCCTGGCCATCGGCAACGCCATTTGGGAGCATGAGGTGGGCGTCTGCTTCCAGATCTACCTGCCCTGGGACGAGGGGGTGCACAGTGCCTTCTTCTCCGGCTTCCTCTCCTTCTGGTCCTACATCATCATCCTCAACACTGTGGTGCCCATCTCGCTCTACGTGAGGTAGGGCAGGGGCCAAGGGGCTGGGCTGGGGGTGTGCGAGGGGCAGGCACCAGGAATTAGGGGTGCCCTCTGGGGAGGGGAGACGGGGACGGAGACCCACGGGCAGAGCTGTGTGCATGGGGTGGGCACGGGCTGCTCTCCTGGTGATGGGCCACGTCTGCCCTCAGGGATACCCCAAGACCTGAGACCCCACAGGTCCTTTGGGGCCCTCCCGGCTGTGTCTGTCCGGCTGCTCGTCTCTCCCTGCCCTGGCTGCATGCTGGTTATTTTGCTCAGCCCTCCTGCAGCTCCCAGGCTTCTGCACTGTCCCCTTCTCTCTCTCTTTTAATTTCTCTCTCTTTTCGTTCCCCAGCATGGGTTCTGTCACCCTTAGCCCCGAGGTAAGAATGTGTCACCCCCACCCCTCCCACTAGCTCATTGCTGTCTGCCCTGGGCGCTGGGGAGGGGGTTTGGGGCGCGTAGGTGTGAGAGAAGCCTGGGGAGCCCTGTGGGCTACCCCCTCGGTGCCAGGTCCTGCGTCCCCAGCCCTGGCTTGGCGGTGGCTGTCGGTAGGAGTGGGTGCGGGCCAGCCCTGGGGAAGGGCGCGGGAGCTAGCAAGCAGCATGGGGGCCCTGGGTGCCAGGGTGCCCCAGGTGCTTGGGGGTCTGGGGTGGGTGGGTGTGTGCCCATCGCTGGCTCGGCAGAGTGTGCTGCCCTGCTCCGGTGACACCCAGCTTTCCCCCCCTGCAGTGTGGAGGTGATCCGTCTCGGGCACAGCTACTTCATCAACTGGGACAAGAAGATGTACTGTGCCAAGCGCCGGACGCCAGCCGAGGCCCGGACCACCACCCTCAATGAGGAGCTGGGGCAGGTGGAATACATCTTCTCCGACAAGACCGGCACCCTCACCCAGAACATAATGGTCTTCAGCAAGTGCTCTGTGAACGGGCACAGCTATGGTGAGTGCAGGGCACCGGGGCCGGGCTGAGTGCCTGCAGGGTGTGGAGGTACTGGCTCCCCTCCTGCAGACCCTTTGGGGCACTGGGGGCAGCTGGGGGACAAAGGGGCTCAGCCGTAGCAT